GCTTTTCCGGGCTCCAGGACCGTCAAAAGCCAACTCAGGATGAAATGCCACGCCCTAGGAAGTTGTCGAAACCTCCAGGGACCCCGTATTGACAAAAATCACGACATCGAATGTCTGGGAGGGCGTCCTCCTCCTCCTCCCCCTCCTCATCCTCAGCATCATCATCATACTCCTCCTCCTCCTCCTCCTCCTCCTCCGCTTCCTTTATCGTATCGTCCTATCGTCGTCATTGTTATCGGCGTCACCGTCGTCGTCGTCATCCTCCTCCTCCTCCTCTTCCTCCTCCTCCTCCTCCACCTCCTCCCTCCCTCTCTCCATCCGTCCTCCTGCCCGCCCTCCTCGTTCTCGTCCTCGTCCTCCTTCTTCTCCTCTTCCTGCCCCCACTCGTCAACGTACCAATCCCCATCGACGTCCTCATCATCACCATCACCAGCACTACCGTCGTTATCATCATCATCATCACCACCACCACCATCATCATCATCATCACCATCATCATCATCATCATCATCATCATCATCATCATCATCATCATCATCATCATCATCAGCATCATCATCATCATCATCATCATCATCATCATCATCATCATCCTCATCCTCATCCTCATCACCATCACCATCACCATCACCAGCATCATCATCAGTATAATGCTTCTGATCCCCCTCATGCTCCTGCCCCTGCTCCTCCCCCTCCTCCTCCTCCTCCTCCTCCCTACCCTCCTCCCCGTCCGCATCCGCGTCCTCTTACCCACGCGCTGGCGCAGCGAAGGTGGCGGCGACAGCGGCGGCAGCGGCGACGGCGGCGACGGCGATAGCGACGAGGGAGGGGGAGAGGGAGGCGCTCACGTACAACACAACGCCCGTGTGCGCAAACGTGCCTGCATACATCACAGGTCAAGACGTGCTCCAGGAGGCCGCAGAGGCTCCCCAGGAGGCCCCAGAGGCTCTCCAGGAGGCCCAATACGTTCCCCAGGAAACCCCAGAGGCGTTCCAGGAGGCCCAAACGTTCCCCAGGAGGCCCCAGAGGCTCTCCAGGAGGCCCAAGACGCTCTCCGGGAGGCCCAAGAGGCTCCTCAGGAGGCCCCAGAGGCGCTCCAGGAGGCCTCAGAGGCGCTCCAGGAGGCCCAAGACGCGCTCCAGGAGGCCCAAAACGCTCGACAGGAAGCCCAAGACGCTCTCCAGGAAGCCCCAGAGGCTCCCCAGGAGGCCTCAGAGGCGCTCCAGGAGGCGGTAGAGGCCCTCCAGGAAGCCCAAAACGCTCTCCAGGAGGCCCCAGAGTCGCTCCAGGAGGCCCAAGACGCGCTCCAGGAGGCCACAGAGGCGCTCCAGGAGGCCCAAGACGCGCTCAAGGAGGCCCAAGACGCTCTCCACGAAGCCCGAGACACTCGCCAGGAGGTCCCACAAGCTCCCCAGGAGGCCCTAGAGGCGCTCCAGGAGGCGGTAGAGGCCCTCCAGGAAGCCCAAAACGCTCTCGAGGTTCTCCTGTGTTGCTCTGTTGCTGTTGCTGGGGGGGGGGGATCGGCCGGGCGCCAGTGAGTGTTTTCGTCTTGTTGTTGTTGTCGTTGTTGTTGTTGTTGTTGTTGTTGTTGTTGTTGTTGTTGTTGTTGTTGTTGTTGTTGTTGTTGTTGTTGTTGTTGTTGTTGTTGTTGTTGTTGTTGTTGTCGTTGTCGTTGTCGTTGTCGTTGTCGTTGTCGTTGTCGTTGTTGGCTGCTGCTGCTGCTGCTGCTCTGTTTGTATGTTGTTGTTGTTGTTGTTGTTGTTGTTGTTGTTGTTGTTGTTGTTGCTGTTGTTGTTGTTGTTGTTGTTGTTGTTGTTGTTGTTGTTGTTGTTGTTGTTGTTGTTGTTGTTGTTGTTGTTTGTGTTTGTGTTTGTGTTTGTGTTTGTGTTTGTGTTTGTGTTTGTGTTTGTGTTTGTTGTCGTCCCACCCGCGATCCACCCCGCGATACATTCGCGACCCACCCGCGACCCACCGCGCGACCCACCCGCGACCCATCCCGCGACCCACCTGCGACCCACCCGCGACCCACCCGCGACCCACCCCGCGACCCGCCCGCGACCCACCCCGACACCCCCCGGGCGACCCACCCGCGACCCACCTGCGACCCACCCGCGACCCACCCGCGACCCACTCCGCGACCCACCCGCGACCCACCCGCGACCCACCCGCGACCCACCGCGACCCACCCGCGACCCACCCGCGACCCACCCCACGAGCCACCCAAAATTTTCGGCGCCTGCGGTGGGTTTCTTTTGCATTCGTTCCAGGTGGAGAACCTGCGACCCACCCGCGACCCAAACCGCGTTCAGTGTACAAATCAAATTTTCGGCGCCTGCGGCGGGCTGTTTTTGAATTCCTTCCAGGTGGAGGTGGAAGCCCGCGACCCACCCGCACAAACTACGCTCACTGAACAAGCCAAACTTCGGCGCCTGCGGCGGGTTTCTTTTGCATCGGCGACCCACCCGCGACCCACCGGCGACCCACCCAGAGACCCACCCGCGACCCACCCCGCGACCCACCCGCGACCCACCCGCGACCAACCCGCGACCCGCCGCGACCCACCCGCGACCCACCTGCGACCCGCTCCGCGACCTACCCAACATTTTCGGCGCTTGCGGCGGGCTGTTTTTGAATTTCTTCCAGGTGGAGATGGAGAGCCCGCGACCCACCCGCGACCCGAACTACGTTCACTGAACAAGCCAAAAATTCGGCGCTTGCGGCGGGCTGTTTTTGCAGTCGTTCCGGGTGGCCGACCAGCGATCCCCCCCGCGCTGACCTTGTCAGAGCACGCAAATCGGCGCCTGCGGCGGACTTGCTCGCATTGGTTTGGGAAAGCGCCCTCGTGTCATTCCCCCAATCCGGCCCACGTTGACTCTACAACAGCACATCGGCGCCTGCGGCGGGGCTGTGTCTGAACACGTTCATTGACAATCCAGCTGCCTGCTGCAATTCGGCATCCGCGCCCAAAGCCTGGGTTCAGGGGGAGCTGCCTCAAGGCGCCCACAATTAATGGGCCTCGGGGCGCTCAAGGACCCTCCTGAGGGGGGCGTCCACGAACCCTACCACACAGCACGCCAGTGCCGCACAAGCGCGGCGGCGGATTTTGCATGACGTCTGAGCCCCCCAAGACCTCTTCAAACTCCGCTCATCCACACCAACCCATCCAGCAACTTTACCCTGGCGAGTTGCCTGGATCAGAGAAGTCGGGGAGCATTCAGTGGAATAAAGGATTGGTTTACCGTCATCTTGAGAAAGAAGAGCGAGGCAGAGGAGTAAACAGGGGACGAGGAGGACGCGGAAGAAGAGAGGATGTAAGGATAATGTGGAAAAAGAGTAGGAGGAAGAGGATGAGGATGATGATGATGATGAGGAGGAGGAGGAGGAGGAGAAAGAGGGCGCCATTGACAGGGAAGGTGAGGGCCACAAGGTCCGCTGGCTCGACGCCCGCGTCGCCCGCGCCCGCCCCCTCACTCTTATCCGCAATTGCCGGCTGCCACGTAGTACTAGTATTAGCAGTAGTAGTCGTAGCAACAGAAAATGACGACGACGTAGTAGTAGTAGTAGCAGCAGTAGTTGTATTATTATTAGTAGTAGTAGTAGTAGTAGTAGTAGTAGTAGTAGTAGTAGTAGTAGTAGTAGTAGTAGTAGTAGAAGTAGTAGTAGTAGTAGTAGTAGTAGTAGTAGTAGTAGTAGTTGTAGTCGTAGTCGTAGTCGTAGTAGTAGTAGTAGTAGTAGTAGTAGTAGTAGTAGTAGTAGTAGTAGTAGTAGTAGAAGTATAAGTAGAAGTATACGTAGACGTATAAGTAGAAGTATAAGTAGAAGTATAAGTAGAAGTATAAGTAGAAGTATATGTAGAAGTAGTGGTAGTAGTAGTAGTAGTAGTCGTAGTAGTAGTAGTAGTAGTAGTAGTAGTAGTAGTAGTAGTGGTAGTAGTAGTAGTAGTAGTAGTAGTAAGACTTGTAGTCGCCGTCGTCGTAGTAGTAGTAGTAGTAGTAGTAGTGGTAGTAGTAGTAGTAGTAGTAGTAGTAGCAGAAGTGGTAGAAGTAGTTGTAGTCGTAGTCGTAGTCGTAGTCGTAGTCGTAGTCGTCGCCGTAGTAGTAGTAGTAGTAGCAGTAGCAGCAGCAGCAGCAGCAGCAGCAGCAGCAGCAGTAGTAGTAGTAGTAGTAGTAGTAGTAGTAGTCGTAGAAGTCGTCGAAGTAGTCGTAGTAGTAGTAGTAGTCGTAGTCGTAGTAGTAGTAGTAGTAGTAGTAGTAGTAGTAGTAGTAGTAGTAGTAGTGGTAGTAGTAGTAGTAGTAGTAGTAGTAGTAGTAGTAGTAGTAGTAGTAGTAGTAGTAGTAGTAGTAGTAGTAGTAGTAGACGTAGGGGTAGTGTCTGGGACGCGAGCTCGAGCGATTCAGATGGCCCCGCCCGCTTCCACCCCTGCCGCCTACAACACAAGAAGCAGTATGGGACATTTGGGAAACATCACCAAGCGCTCGCTCGCGGATTTTTTGATGGCTGTGTTGGCGGAATATATGGGGCCGCGCACGTGCTGGTGCGGAGATATCAGAGGATGCATGCGCGGCCTTTCGGCCAGAGCACCCCTCAGCCTTCTCGCGCGCGGCCACATCAGTTCTACTAGTAGCGACCACAAAAAAGTGCCGCTCCCTGGTGGGAGCACAACTATCACGATAAATCTGTGCGGCGCGCACGCGAAAACGACATTCCGCCTTATTGCGTGCGGCATCACACGCGGGTTTTCCAGTAATCATCGCCTGGTGCAGCTTCTGAAGTGACCCATTGTTCACGATGTGTAGCCTTTTCCAGTGACCTGATGGGCTTCCGTTAGCCATTTCTTCCCCCCTCCTTCGTTGCCCCCCTTTCTTCCCTCCTTCCTCTTTCTCTTCAACTCTCCTCTTTCCCACGTCGTGTTTCGACCTGGCAGGCTATGCTGTCTCCTCCAGCGTTCCGTGACATTCATATCTCGGCATTCTTGATCACACCCTTGCACATCTGCCTCGAGGTGGCCGTGATCTTCGAAGTTGATGTTTCGGTTCGGTATCCTGGCGCTTCTGGCAGCACAGAATGCTGGACAGACCCTGATCATCAAGTGCCTCGGGAATGCGGCGGCGGAGGAGTGAAATGAAGGATGAAGGGCGCAGGCTGGCGAAGGATGAAGGATGAAGGATGAAGGATGAAGGATGAAGGAATGAAATGAATGAAGGATGAAGGATGAAGAATGCTGGCTGGCTCTTCGGCCCATCCATACGGCGTTTGCGACCTCGGGCATGGACGCTTCTGGTAGGCCTGACCTCCCAGGGCGGAGCTGGCCTGCTCCTGCTGGTGGACCTCCAGGCAAGTCCAGAGTCACCATTGTGGAGCGACCTCCCGCAGCCCGTCTGCGAGTGCCCTTCTTTTTTCCAGCCGCCCAAGCCCCTTCCGATCTCTTTCCTCCGATCTGTCTGCAACGTCAGTGAGGGAGGGGACGGCACCCACTAGGGGTGACCGGAAAGTCCGCAGCTCCAGCACCGAGGGCTGCGCTTTGCCCCCCCCCCCCCCCCGCACACACTCACACCCACCCACCCAGCATCCCCTGCAATCTTACAGGCGTCAATAACGCAGCTGCAGACCCGGCGGGCAAGGAGTCGTAACGAAGATCTCTCAGGAGTGGGGAAGGGCGCATGCGAGAAGAAGGAGGTAAGGGAACGGGGAGAAGGACGGGGATGGGAGAGAAGAGGACACGCAAATTGGGGGCTAAGCTTGGCTGGCTTCTACGCAGAGAGCACAAAGTTGCCCATCAACCGCATGCGCCACCAACCGCAGTGGGTTTCCCATTAACCGCATGGCGAATCTGGCGTCGCAGCAGCTCCACCGACTAAAAACCAAGCCGATGAAAACGCATCACCGAATAAAACACAAGCCGAGGAACACATCCAAACCAAGGAACAACCCAGACCGAGGAACACCCGAACTGTCGAAACAGTCCGAATAAGCCCATCGTGATCCCATTGTGATCCGAATAGATTCATACAGGAACCCAATCGGGGCGTTCGCTCCTTAGGCGCGTGCTAGCTCTGGTATGACCTTGGTCCTCCCATCCTCCTCCCTCCCCCTCTTTCCGTTCTCTGTGCTGTTCCTCATCTCCCTCCACTTCCTCGTTCCCCTTCTCGCTAACAGAGGGTGCAGGAGGATGAGGAGGATGAGCACGTCTAGCACCAAGGAGCTGGTTTAGGGAAGGGGCTTTGCAGCAGAGGTGGCCTGCGTAGGAGAAGGGGCACGACTAGCACCAATGCGTTTTATTCATCATATTCGGGAGAGGCTTTGTCTGACATAGGGTGTTCCTCAGCACGTCTAGCACCGAGGAGTTTTTGAGATTTGCCTGGGGAGGGACCATGTCAAATAGAGGATGCTGCGCAGCAGAGGGGGCACGTGTAGAAGGAGGGGCCTGTGTAGAGGCAATGATCCTGTTGATTCCTGTGGTGTCTCGGTGATCCTGAAGATTCTGAAGATTTTCAGGGTCCCTGAAAAAAACCTGAGAAATCAACTGTGCAGAGTCCTGAGACATCCTGAGGCATTCAGAGGATTCCTGAGGAGTCCCGAGATATCCTGGGGGATTCTGGGAATCCTGAAATATTAAACACAAGGTTCTACGGGAGCCCTGAAGAATCCGTAGGAATCTTGTGGAGTCCCGAAGGTTTCCGAGGTTTCCGCAGGATTCCGAATGATTCCTCAGGATTCCAAAGACTATCACACCTGCTGAGTGTCTTTGTGGTCTTTCCTCGTTTCATGTGTTCCTCTTTTTTCGTTTTTCCATCTCGGTCTATTTTTATCTATAGTTTTTTGTTTTCTTGGTCTGGTTTTTCCTCGTTTCGGTTTTCCCTCGGTCAGGGTGGGGAAGTCTCATTCTGGCACCCCATGGCATCCGCGTAATCGCGAAACGGCAAGCCGAGAGGGCCTGTGCCGTCACCCTGCCTTTGCCATGATAGCTGACGCTGCCGCACAGCGTAATCAGAGGGCACTCGGTCGCCCTCAGGGCCTGGCCACTTTGCAGAGCATGCGTGAGCCGGAGCGTAGCCCCGCCCGGTAGGGGCGCAGGACTGGTGGCGCATGGGATTTCCATCCGCAGGAGCAAGAGGAAGAGGAGGAGTGAGGAGGAGACATATCGCCGAGCGCGTTCCACTACTCGCAAAGTGCCTACTCGCAAACTTCCTAAAAACCATACGTCCGCCTTTGTGTAATGTTTCGTAAATCCCCTGGGGCTGATCCAGGCTACTTGCGAGTAGCTACTGCGCGAGTAGTGGAACGCGCTTGTCTAACAGAGGAGGGACGACGAGCGGGAGGGGGAGCCGAGAGGATGTTGTCACCATGTTTTGCTTCCCGACGGCCTCGCTCCAGGTACGCGCAACATCATGGAAGCCATCCTGACACGCTGGTCGGCCGCTGTTTCTGCGGCTGGCATCCCCAAAGGGCGCGGGCCCCCAGGACAGAATATCCTCTGGGGTAGGGATAAAATGAACAATAAATGCCGAATCGTGGTATATATTTTGTTTGTTTGATGAGTTCGGCTGTTCGTCCCCCCCCTGGCCATTAGACCTGGCCCAGCACGGAAACGGAAAGAGCGCCGCCTCAAACAAATTAGCCGAGATTACTCACACCACCGCTCTTACTGGGAGCCTTGGAGTTGAGAGCTTGTTACGTCACCCCTCGCTCCTAGGAGCCTTGGTGTTCAGAGATGGTTGCGTTGCCGCCCGTTCCTGAGCCTTGGCTGGGCCTTGGTATCAGAAACTTGTTACGTCACCGCTCTCTGCTGGGAGCCTGGGTCTTGTCAGCTTGTTTACGTCACCGTTCGCTCTTGGGAGCCTTGGTGTGAAGAGCTTTTTGCATTACCGATCGCTCTTGGCGTCTCTGGGCCTTCGTGGGAGTCCTAATGGAGCCCTTTTCGGGCCCTCCTGGTGGCCTCTTCGGGGCCTCTCGGGGGCCTCTTGGGGCTGCTTGGGGGTCTGTGGGGGCCTCCCGGGAGCGTCTTTGGGCGAAAGGCTAGACTGTCGGGTTCGTGGTCCCCCTCTTGGGGCCGTCCTGGGGCCCTCTTGGGCCGTCTTGGGCGCCTCTTGGGCCGTCTGGGGGCCCTCTTGGGCCGTTTTGGGGCCCTCTTGGGAGCCTCTTGGGCCGTCTTGGGGCGGTCTTGGGGGCCTCTTGGGCCGTCGTCAACGCCGTAAAAGTCGAAAAGCCGTGTATGCTAGAAATGTATGTTTTCCCATCGAGAATCTATGATTTTGCCTCCTGTTGGCCTCGTGGGACGCCTCTTGGGGGCCTCTTGGGGCTTCTTGGGGGGCTGTGGGGGCCTCCCGGGAGCGTCTTGGGACGATAGGCTAGACTTTGCGATTCGTGGTCCCCCCTTCGGGGCCGTCCTGGGGCCCTCTTGGGCCGTCTTGGGCGCCTCTTGGGCCGTCTGGGGGCCCTCTTGGGCTGTTTTGTGGGCCTCTTGGGAGCCTCTTGGGCCGTCTTGGGGCGGTCTTGGGGGCTTTTTGGGCCGTCGTCAACTCCGTGAAAGGCGAAAAGCCGTATATGCTAAACATATACGTTTTTCCTATTGGAAAATCGATGATTTTGGCCTCTTGGGGCCCTCTAGGGACGCCCCTTGGGCGCCTCTTGGAGGCCTCTTGGGGGCCTCTTGGGCCGTCTTGGGCGGTCTTGGGCGGTCTTGGGTTCTTCTGGGAAGGAAAAGAAGAGAAATCCGAAACACATGCAAAAAACTCGAGGGAAAACTCCCCAAACGGCCATTAGAACTCATCCGCTCGCGCTACGCCCCCCCCTGGACCCCCCCCCTTAAGGGGCTTCGCCCAACAGACAACGTCATCGCTCGTACCTCGCTCTTTCCGTTACCTGGGCCCGGCACAGAAACGGAAAGAGCGCTTCAACACATTGACCGAAATTACTCAAACCACCGTTCGTATTGGGAGCCTTGGCGTTGAGAGCTTGTTACGTCACCCCGCGCTCTTGGGAGCCTTGGTGTCCAGAGATTGTTGCGTTGCCGCCCGTTCCTGAGCCTTGGCTGGGCCTTGGTGTCAGGAACTTGTTACGTCATCGCTCCCTGCTGGGAGCCTTGGTCTTATCAGCTTGTTTACGTCACCGTACGCTCTTGGGAGCCTTGGTGTGAAGAGCTTTTTGCGTTACCGATCGCTCTTTATTTGGCTTCTCTGAGCCTTCTTGGGAGTCCTATTGCGGCCCTTTTCGAGCTCCTTTGGGGGAGCCTTGGGGTGAAGAGCTGTTATGTCCCCGCTCGCTGATGGGAACCATGGTGCTCTTGATTGTCTCTTGGGCCTCTTTTGGGGCTCTTTTGGGCCTCTTGTCGGGGTCCTCTTGGGGGCTCTTTTGGAGCCCTTGGGGAGGCCTTCTGGGGCCAGTTCGGCTGTCTTAGGGCCTTTTGGGCCGTCTTGGGGCGTCTTGGAGGCCATTGGCTGTCTTGGGGCTCTCCGGGGGCCTCTTGGGGCCCACTTGGGAGCCTCTTTGGGCCCTCTTGGGGCTCTCTTGGGGCCGTCTTGGGGCCCTCTTGGGCCGTCTTGGAGCCCTTTTGGACCGTTTGGGGGCCTCTCTGAGGCTGTCTTGGGGCCCTCTTGGAATGTTTTCGGGCCCTTTCGGGGGCTTCTGGGGCCGTCTTAGGACGATCTTTGGAGCCTCTTGGGTCGTTTTGGACCGTCCTTGGCTAGAAAAAACAAGAACCCCCCAAACCTGCAAAGAACATGGCAAATCAATGTTTTTTGCCCCTGAGGGCCCTCTCGGGTGCCCTCTGGAGGGCCTCTGGAGCCGTCTTGACGCTATCCTGGACCGTCTGGAGGCCATCTGAGGCTCTCTTGGGGCCGTCTTGGGGCCCTCTGGGGCTGTTTTGGGGCCCTCTTGGGCCGTCTTAGAGCCCTTGGGCCGCGTCATTCGATCAAATACGAAGAAATGGGCCATGGGAGCCGCCCGGGATCCGCTTCACTCGAACAAAATACGAGGCGCGAGGGCACTAAGACCAACTCGTCCGGGCTTGCCCCCTCCCCCGGACCCCCTCCCTTCGAGGGCTTCGCCCCCTACGAAACGTTTCTCGCTCGTACCTCGCTCTTTCTGTCACCCGGCAGGTGACCACCGGATTCGTTTGTTTGCACCTCGCCGTTCTGAAGATGTGCCCACCTCGATCTGATCGACCTACCTGCCATTTTCTAGAGCCGCTTGCTCGAGAGTAAAGAGAACCGCTTCTCCGAGGGTTCACGATGACTCACGCGGCCTTTGATCGATCGTTGAACCGTGTGGAGTGCTGTCTTGCCATGAGCGGGGGGGGACGTTTGCATCGTGCTGGGTCCGCGGTCTAGTTGCAACTACGCAGCAGGTCGTTGTCTGACTACTACCTGGGCCGAGCGGGCGTAGCCTCGGTTTGGCTGTGCTCAGCTTGGCTTGAGTGCCATCAGCTCGTCCCAAGCTCTTCCCGCAGCTTACCTGATGTGCCTTGCCACTTAATGTAGCTGGCGCTGTCGCGGCGTAGTCGATATTTTCCATCCGCCTTTTGATCGCTTGCCGTGTTTGATTTGGCCCAGAGTAGCGCAGAGTGTCTCGAGCGACCGTAGTTCCGCTTTCCGCAGCGTGCCAATGCGTGCCATGCCGCGCACGAGAGCGGGGCTACCGTCGTATTAGTTTGTTACGGGATATTCATTCGCATCGGGACAGCTTGGAACAGCGCAGCTCATGTCAGTCTATCATCGATGAGTACTCCGGAAGTGAGGGCACTTCCTCGTGTGCTTGTTATGTGGTTTATTATGTGTCCTTTGGTACATCAGTTTGTGCTTTCGCGGGTCAAATAAGTAATACGTTAATCGTGCGATGCGTAGCCTGACCTAGCGGCGCAGCTCAGTTTGTCAGTGGCCGACCACTGCACACCCCATCTTTATTCTCGTGTTGTGCAGGCGTGTGGCATCAACTTGCAGCGCCGCTTCGTGCATCCCAAGCCATCGCAGCGCAGGTGTGTGAATCCTAGATCGCGGAGACCCCTGGAAGCTCATTGGTTCTGGTCAGTAATTGATGACGAAGAGACAGGGGTCGCACGGAGCGCACACAGGTATTTGCTCGTGGCCCCCTAGGATGACGGGGAATGCCAGTCTGCCGAGGCCCCCGCTCAGAGCGCATGTGCGGCAGTGTCACAGAGCGAGGGAGAATGACACAAAGAGACATACAAACGCACCGATGCATATTTTTCACATTCAGAGAGCGGGAAAGAGAGACAGAGAGAGAGATAGAGGAACGAAGAGAGAGAGAGAGAGAGAGAGCGAGATGGAGAGAAGAAACCCCAGAGACCTGTAGTGGCTGGGAGGGAGAGGGAGAGAGACAGAGAGCGGTAATGGTGACCGTTCTGCGATTGTGTGCCTCCGATTGTTCCCATTGGTTCAATTGGGTTTCGCGTGCCAGTGAGCCAGTTTTGAAATTTCAGTCGAAGGCGTCGCCCTCTGCCGCCAGTCCCCTCTTCAAATTGTCTGCATGGCTGGATTGCTTGGTTGATTGACTGGCTCATTGGTTTGCTGGGTGGCAGCTCGGCTGGTTGGCTGACTGGCTGGTTGGCTATTTGGCACACTCGCTGCCTGGCTGGTGGGATGCCTTCCTCTTTCTGCAGGCGGGCTCGCCAAGAGTGGGACTCGAACCAAAGGAAGGGGCATGGTCGTGGGCATGTTTCATGAGGGAGCGTGGCTGCGCGCGCCGGACCGCATGTCCTTTTTCATATACAAAATCGGGGGTGGACAAAACCTTCTACCCTGACACGTCGATTAAGGAATTGGCTGTTTTCGGTTCGCGAGAGGGCGTCGCGGCTGTTATTTTTGCGGGACCAGGTCCGTCGGTTTCGGTCCCAGGCCGTTTTCACTACAACGAGGTTCACTAAAGGGAGGTTTGTCCACCGCCGAATATAGAAAAGGAGAAGCCGCGGCTGCCCGGGCGCAGATCCATGGTAGCCAGGTCGGATAAACGTAGTTGTTGTGTATGAGGGCTGTGCCATTGAAAAGTACTGCTCAGTGTTCGTTTGTTTCCGAACCATCTTGCGTGGAAGGGTTCACTCGAAAACGCTTACGGCGAACCACCGCCGCCCCGCTGCATGGTGGAAACGCCCATGCGGCCAAACGTTGGGTCCAAGTCTGGTCAAGCCATTGGACTCTGTGTCCCCCCAGCCGTTGTGGAGTTTCCTGGGGCAACAGTTGTGAGAAACATAGAACCGAGGAGGAGAGGGAAGAGAAGGATACCGAGGAGGAGGAGGAGGAGGAGGAGGAGGAGGAGGAGGAGGACCAGTGTAAACCCAAGACGCGTCAGCAATGTTGCCGTACATCCTCCCTCCAAGGTCCGTCTTCACAGGTTTCTTAAAGAATTTCTTTTCATTGTGGGACGTGCTCCATTGGACGACAACCGTTTGAGAAGCACCAATGGTGCCGAAGTGCAATACCTTGGTCTTCGGCGCCGCGATTCAATGTGACTGATGCATGCATTCTTTCAAGGTGAATGTGCGCGGCGCTAAGGCGGGAACAACATTTTGACAAGGATTCGCCGCCCATTTTCGAAGCTGTGGCAACCCTTTTAAGAGGAATGTGCGTGGCGCTAAGGCATGGGCCACATTTGGAAAACAGGCCGGCCTCCATCCTGGAAGATGCTGCAAACTGAAGACGAATGTGCGCGGCGCTACGGCGGGAGGAAAACCTGCCGCCCTCCATCCTTGAATCTGTGACTAATTTCAAGTTTCAGGATCATACATGGTGATCAGGCGAAACGCCTGGCCCACCCTACCAACACGTTTGACGGTGCGACAGGGAGGAGTTGTCTATAAGGGAAAGGGATGTAGGAGGAGGAGGAGGAGGAGGAGGAGGGCGAGGAGGAGTAGCATGAGGAAGAGGATGCCTCTTGAGGCCCCCTTTGGGCCTCCTGTGGGCTTCTTTGGACCCTCTTGGGGGCCTTCGAGGAGCCTCTGGAGGGACTCTGAGGCCTCTGAGGGACCTCTAGGTTTTCGGAGGCCATCGTGGGGGCTTCTCTGGGCTGTCTTGGGTTCCTCTTTGGGCGCTTTTGGGTTGTCTTCCATGTCTGGGGCAGCCTTGGGGCCGTCTCGGGTGGCCTCCTTTGCCGTCTTGAGGCCCTTTGGGGCCGTCTTGCGGCCTCGTGGGTCGTCTTGGGCTTCATGCAGTTCCTCTTGTAGCCCTATTAGGCGTCTTTGGGCCTCTTGGGCCGTCCAGAGGACATCTTGGGCCGTCTCGGGGCCATCTTGGTCGGCTTGGAGTCGTTTTGGGACCGTCTCGGAGGCTATTTTGAGCCGTGTTGGTCGTCCTGGGGGTCATCTTGCAGCCCATCTTGGGCTTCTAGGAGGCGGAGGATACACCTTTCGTTTTTCCCGGTCAGCCTGAGGGATCGGTCGATACCCACTTGGAGCTACCTGGAAGTGTTACAAACATCAAAACGTCCAGCACGCCGCGCATCCTTGTGATCAACACAGGGTGTGGCGGATCGAAGACGCCTACGGCGAGCCACCGCCGTCCCATACCTTTTGGGAACGCCTAAGCGGCCAAGCGTTGGGCCAAAGTCTGGCCAAGCTATTTGACTATGCGTTCCCCTGGGCGCTGTGAAATTCTTTTGGGAAACACTGGGATAGGAAGAGGCAGGAGGACGAGAGGGAGGAGAAGCTGTGAACGCCAAGGCTCCCAAGAGCGAGCAGTCATGTCAAAAGGTCCAAAGAGCGAACAGTGACCTATAGAGGCCCAAGACAACTCCAAGACAGCTCAAGAGCGCTCCAGGATGGTCTCATATGGCCTCACGTCGGTCCACAGAGGTCCCCGCTTGCCAAAAGCCCTCAGAGGCGCCTGCCAACAGCCCAAGCTAGTGGTGCCTTTCAGATTCTTCCAGTATCTCCGGGTTCGACAAGCACACGTGTCCACGTCCTAGCCGATGTTTCCGACGAGGAAACCGCGAACCTCGATTTCGCTCCCTAAGCCTCCATCGACACACCAAACAAGCGTCAGAGGGACCTCCGAACTGCTTCCAAGGGGCTCCTGACAGGTTTTCCGAGCGCATACGGCAATTTCCCACTTATTCTTCCTCTGCACTCCTCCAACAGACTCCCCACTCCCTTACTCCGCCTTCTCCCTTCATTCTCCTCCTCCTCCTCCTCCTTCCCCTCCTTCTCCGTCTCTGGCCTGTTCAAAAGAAGCACGTGCTGATTTCTGATCTTTTTCAATTCTAGACGCTTCGCGTAACCCCACCACAAGGACGAACCAGCACCAGACAAGATCATCCGACTACAGAAGACGCTGGGAGGCGCCTTCAACGGGATCTGGACCGCCTGGGTCCGTAAGGCAGGCAACAAGCAAGGGAGCCCATGGGTCAACATCAAGTCCGACCCCAGGAAGAATTCGTTACAGCAATGCGAAGACTTCCTCCAGGCATGGAACAAAGCAGGCTTCGACGCGTACAAAATGGACGACGAGCACCAGCTCCATGGACAAGCAGCGCAAGCAGTTACAACGCGACACCAAAACACGCACCCCCGAAGGTCCCAGTGGAGGCGATCGCCCGTATCCATGGGCTGACGGCAGCAAGGTTGCGCCAGGTCCCCCCCCAGTGCCCGCCGGTGACAGAGACGCCACGCAAGCAGCTGCCTCAGGCGGGCCCAGTGGGGATGATCGCCGGTACCCATGGAGCAAACCAAAAGAGGCCACATGTTCCCCCCCGGTGTACACCGACTACAGGGTTGCCGCACAGACAGGCGCACCCAGTTCAACCGCCCAATGGGATTCATTGCGGTCTTGGGATGGGTGGGACCGCCGTCAGGGCACGTGGGCCGACGCAGACTGGAGGACCAGGGGGAAACGAACTGCCCCCAGAGGAGACGCTCACTATGCTGACAAACGGCAGCGCGGGTGGGACTTTGCCCGCAAGTGAGCTCGCCTGGTTTATCCAAAAGGTACGTTGTCTCCTCCATTTCCCCAGTCCCAGGAAGGCAGCCCCATCGACGAGGGACAGTCGGATAGGGCTCCAGCGCACTCTCCCTGCAGCTCGTCTGCGGCTCAAGACCTTTCTCCCCCTGATCATGTCAATACTCCGAGTTGCCACTCAGCCCGTCTCGGAACGCAGCGCATGCTTTCTGGACAACGTCGACCTCGGTCAGCTGGGGACTGCCTCCACCTCCCTATACAAAGTGGTCTCCATCGCGCTGACCCTGTGGGCCATATGGGACCCCTCCGTGCCATGCGGGGCCCAATGGGTCGGCAGCCCTATGGTCCTCAACCGCCCCTTTGCTGCCCACAGGCGCGCAATTGGTGAGGAAGCAAGACGACGCGGACGGCTGTCCCCCACGGGCCACCGCTTCCGTGGGTGGTCCCTATACGACAGGGGCTCGTTTCACCGCAGTGACAGGCCCTGGCCTTAATGCACTCGTGTCACCTCCTGGGGGTGAGGTGCATCACTCACACTGCGTCTAGACTCCCTACGGTGCACCGTGGGCTCTTAGCCCGTGTGGTAATGGCTGCAATAATTCCGGCCCGCGGTTCACTTTGGCCTGGTTCACACGGACATGGGCCCGTCTCGCCCGCTTGGGCACTCACTTTGGATGGCTGGGGCCGCAGGCCTAAGGCCCGCCCCATTCGCTCCACACGCTGCGCGTCCGACGACTGGTGACCTTGCTCTGGTGGCGTTTCCCCCCCACTAGGCAGGCGCCTTCCGCCGACTACATTCCGACTACGCCTTGTTGGGTCCTCGACCGTCTGTGTCGCCACATGGCTCTCCTCCTCCTTTGTATTCAACTGAGTTGCGGCTATCGGCTGCGCCCCCCCCCCTCCTCTTTCACGACGACTGCTGTGGCGGGCCGTTCGACGTGTTCGCTCTCACGCTATAGGGTGCGCTCAACACTGCAGCTGCCCCTTCGGGCCACTGCCGACGGGGTGGCTTCTTCACGACAGGGACTCGTTTCACCGCGGTGACAGGCCTTGGCCTAATACCCTCGTGTCACCTCCTGGGGGTGAGGTGCATCTCTCAAGACACTGCGTTTAGTTTCCCACGGTGCATCGTGGGTTCTTAGTCCGTGTGGTACTGACTGCAATAATTCCTGCCCGCGGTTCACTTTGGCCTGGTTCACACGGACATGGGCCCG